AATGGGTCCCTTTTGGATTACACTAACTTGGCGCGTCTAGCATATAGATAACGTGATGGATGTTGGGAATACCTCTTCCCAATGGCCGTGGCTGGCATATCCCATCCTTCTGCCTGAAGGACACTGACAGCCACAGTGTTGTTCCTGGGCTTGCAAGAAGGAGTTGGAGCGGTGCAGCCCAAAATGTTGCATTCTCTTCCCTCCGAGTCTGTGCTTGCCACAGCGTCCCCTGGTACTGGAGATGACGGTAGTCAGAGATGCTGACAGAGGTCTTGGGCTTCTTTGGCTTTTTCCTGATCTAGACCAAAATAAATGAGTTAATTTTGTACTGTGTCTAGTGTGGAAATCTTCACCCCTACCCCCATCTCCTGATCTTTTCACCCATGCCCCCTACACGTGTTCAGACCTTTCTCGCCTCTCACCTAGAAACTGAGGACAGAGCTGCTCAGCATAATCCGTGAGAAGAACGCGTCTCATCCGATCATCCGAAACTTCTCCTACAAGCTTTTCCAGCAGAGCATGCTCCGGTTCTTGGAGACCTACATGGAAGAGTCAGAGCCTATGCTCCTAACGGTATGTGCTTGCGCTGGCCACCCCTTTTCTAGTGTCAGCTGCCAGGGACGAGTGGCACGAAGTGCAGATGGGAGTGGAGTTGCCACTCGTATTGCCATCCCGTGTGTCAGCGTAATGGTCTGACCTGTCCTGCGAAGTGAAACACAGTTATAAAGCTCCCTGTCTTTGGCAGCAAGGGAGCAAACCTGTAGCATTTAAAGGTCAGCTCTTTCCTAAAGAGTCTGTGCTGTGCTAACTCTCAAGGTCCTACTCTCACAACACCCGTAGGATGCATTGCAGAACGTCATACAAGCAGCACAGAAGATGCTTCTCTGACTCGAGTGATGGCTGGCATAATATTTGAACTGTTCCAAGAATGTGACTGATTGGGGACCGGTTTGCAGCTGTCCCTGGACAAAAGTCCATGCATGCGCTGCTAGGGTTTCTAAGTAGATCTCTAGCCTGTTAGGGACTGCATTGCTGCCAAAGCACCACTGGGGGGTGGCAGAGTACCCAGACCATCCTGCCTTCCCTGGGTTGGTGCCAGGAGTTTCCCTGGGAATTTCCTAGAACCCTTTTTTGTGCCAAGACCCGCATGTAAACATCAATGGCCAGTCCTGACCCAGTGCCTCTCACTCCTGACCCACTGCCCCCTACCGCCAGGCCCACATTGTGTAGGTACGGGGGGCTGGAACTCTGCCAACCTGCAAGAGAAAACCCACAGTTTCCCATGTTTTTCTCCTTTATAGGAGAATCTGTTTGTTCGTGACGCTTTCATATATTCTTGCAACCCACTTTTGGTTGCTGCCCTAGAGTAGGGGGGGAGAAGGGGTGCAGAGGGGTGCATTTTGGGCTGTCTGGAGGACTGACCAGACACTAGACAAAGAATGCTCTGTGTCCACATATAACAGTGAACAAGTTCAAGGAAGATCGGCTCAAAATAGTACTTAATTTTCCTGGTGTGCTCTTGAAATGTTCCAGGAAGCTTAAACCGGTCTGAAGTGACATGTACATCTAGATCCTTGGGATCTAAAGAGTATTTAGACTGTTCTCAGTGTTATGTCTGCCAGTGTCAGGATCCTAATTTATGCCCTTTGTGGAACAGCAAGAAACTGTGGGGGGTTATGTATTAAATTGTTCAAAATATAATTCCCTGCTTTTGGAGGAGGGATAAGATCACAGTTCTCTTGGTAACGAGTGCACGCTTTCTTCTTTGTTCAAGGTGGTGAAAAAGACTCTAAATTCAGAACATGTACATGAACCCAAGGACCTCCAAGCCACGTCAGAGCCCCTGGAAGACTGTAGGAATGCAGCATCCACGTCAGAGCCTCTGGAAGCCTCTAGGAATCCAGCATCTGCTTCAGAGCCCCCAGAAGCCTCAAAGGACCCAGCAGAAACACCAGAGTCCCCGGAAGCTTCAAAGGACCCAGCAGAAACACCAGAGTCCCCAGAAGCTTCAAAGGACCCAGAAGAAATGCTAGAGTCCCTGGAAGCCTCAAAGGACCCAGAAGAAATGCTAGAGTCCCCGGAAACCTCAAAGGACCCAGCAGAAAAGGCAAAACCCCCAGAAGCCTCAGAGGACCTGGCAGACACTCCAGAGCTCGCAGTAGCTTCTGAAGATCCGGCAGAAACACTAGAGCCCCTGGAAGCCTCCAAGGTGACCGCAGAAATGCCAGAGCCCTCTGAAGCCTCTGAGGACACAGCAGAAATGCCAGAGCCCCCAGAAGCCTCCAGAGACCCAGGAGCCACATCAGAGCCCCAGGCAGCATCTCCCAGACAATCTGAGAGGTAGGCAGAGAAATTTGGCTGACACGGCAGGTGCAGCTTGACAGCATCTCTGGGTGATAATGCCACCGCTGTCAAGTTTTTTTCACCAAGTGGTTTAACCCTGGGTTAAGAGGAAGCTTTGCCCCAAAGGGCCCCGTGATGCACTGGGCTGTAAGGTTGACGGGAGAGTCAGAGGCTCAGAGAAGGACTTCAGTACCTGTGTTGTTTGGTGGGTGTTGATTTGCTGCATGGCCTGGGAGTTGGTGTTCTGTAGCAGAAGGTGTAAGCTGAGGATGCTTGCATGGTAGGGGCTGATTCTACCAAGTTGCCTTGCCAGTGCTTGGAGGGAGGCTGCTTCCCACTGCAACTGGCAGGACAGTGAACAGCCCAGAAGTTTATTTTGGCGGGTGTTGGGAACACCTTATTCAGAGCAGTGATGGGGAGTGGGCTGCGGAACAGCCTTGATTTCAGACAGGCAGTGGTGGGGTGCAATCCTTGACACACCTGCTTAGTCTTGTTTATTTTATAGGCAGCCCCCTGGGACGGTAACTGTTTTTGGGATTTCTGTTTTGAGAGAAGCTTTCAAGACCTTGTCGGATTCCCAAGATTCTGAAGCCACCTTCAGCAAGCTGGATGAAACAGACTTTTCTTTCCCCAAACAACTGTCTCCTGTATCCCACAGGGCTAAGAGACAAAGGGTAGAGGAAAGCCCAGCTTCTGATACTTCAGAAACCCCCGAATCCCCTCCAAAGAAACAACACTTGTTGAACATATGCACACTGCTCATGCGTGAGGACAGCCAGAAGAGTGCTAGCACTGAGAGTCCAGACTCATCCCAAGAGCCTGTGGTGTCTTCTGCATCCAGACCTCCTGTCGAGAAGCCGCCTGTCCAGCCTAGATCTTCTGAACGTTTTAAGTACGAAGCTTTATCGGATGTTGCGTGTCGCTTGCACGCAGTGCTTTGAGGACTCGCAGCAAATATTGTTACAGTGTACAAACAACACAACCCTTATTACCAGGACTGTCTGGCTCACCCTGGGCTCGACCTGGACTGCAGGGCTCCTCATGGGCCAGATGTGGATCCAGGACTTGCGGGGCATGCATTGGTGGTGGAGGAGGCAGTGGTGGGGCAGATGGCACTGTGTTGCCACAGCTGTCACTCCTCTTCCTGCCGATGAAGGCCATTTCCAACAGGGTCTTGTAGCCCAAATTCAGTGGCAGGCCCTGTGTCTTGCTTGCCACCTCCAAGTTCTCAGTCCCTGCAGGAGCTCTGTCCTGCTAGATACGGCCCATGGGCCATCTGTTTGACCCCCCTGCCTTATACCAGTGCAAACACAAAACAGCAGAGATCCCTGCCTGCTGCAAAATATGGAGACAGATAACATAAACGTGTACAGCAAAAGCTGTGTTAACCGGCATTTTATTAGCTGGAAAACTCTATTAACCAGCAACCGAGGGACACGGCAAAAGTGCAACTGGAAGTACCACTTCCAGGGACTTCTGGTTTCACTGCCGTGAGCCGAGTTTTTCTTTGTTGCTTCTTCGGCCCACAGCCCAAGGCAAACAGCCTGTGCGGGGCTCCCCTCCCTGTTCCCTGGCACACTGACACTGGGGAGTGCACCAGATGGTGCACATTTGATTAACTGGAATCCCCCATTCTTGGGGGATGCCGGATAACACAGTTTTTACTGTAGCTTACATTTTGGGTTAGCAGTAGCAGAGGTGAGAGAATTCTGTATCCACATCCCAGTAACAACTTTAGCTGTTGCCCTGAATTAGGGTGAGGGATCAGTCCCTGCCACACACTGGGAACTGCAGTGCAGTGGGCTGGAGCTCCCTCCCAGCCACTGGTGCAGCTTTGAAGCCAGGCACATACCCTGGAACCTCCTGGTTCTGGGGCTCACCCCTGGATGCTCTGTTTGCTCTGTAACCCTTTACATGGCAGCAGTGGGCACTGGCTGTTAGGATGTCTTTCCCAGGGTTTCCTTTGCCCCGCTGCTGCTTTGTGAGTTTCCCTGTACGAGAGGTTGTGTCATTGACAGGAGCCAACAAGCAGGAGCGCAGGGAGCACATGTTTCCCCTCTGATCGCAAGGAGATTCCTTTGAGGTTTCCCATGCTGCAATATGTGAAGCTTGTGAAGTGTTTTAAATAAAACTGGTTGCAGCTGGAGAGCTTGGCACAGGGCATCTGCTTACATGGGCTAGAACCAGGAGCTTGAGTCAGTGAGGGGTCTCTGAGTGATCTGAACCAGGTGTGATCCTTTCAGAGCAGCCTGGTGAAGGGTGTAATCCTGGCTGAGCACTTCTGCTTCAGGCTACATGCAGCATCCTCTGGGCAGTCGCTGTCTGCAGTGCCTGCTCATTCTGGCACAGTTAGCATGCCGTTGTGGTGTGAGTGCTTGATGCAGTGTCTGTTGTAGTTCCAGAAGATGATGTGCTGCAGGTCTTCTGGCAGCGCTGAGTAGCTTTGCATTCCCACCCCACATGGCACCCTTCGCTTGCAATTGGGCTTCTCAAGACGAGGTGCCAGAACAAGGGGAATAAGTGTAGTGAAGCAGTGCGAGCGTTTAGAGCTGTAGTCCTTATGCCAGCCCCTGGGCCTGCGTCACTGGGGTGAATTCTTGTCATCAGTGGTCTCTTAGTAAGGAGGGTGTAGCTCTTCAGACCTTTATGTGCTAGCTGTGTGGATTAACTCTGTCTTGGGGCCTCGCTAGCCCACTGGCTCACTACTTCAGCTGGGTGTTTGTATGTTCTCAGGTCACTCAGAGCAACACGAAGAGTCTTAAACAGGTCAGAAGAAAGGGACACCTGGAGTGACGAAGATGAGCTCTTCCTGGATGCAGGTAAGGTTACACCTCTGCTGTGTATGTGCTGGCCCCTGCCATGCTGCATGCTCCCAGCTTTCTGCTGCCTTCTGGGGCTGACAGCAGCTGGAAGCCCAGAAATCCTGTGAGCATGAGGGAGTGGGATTATGGCTGCTGCTGAAGGACTGCTGAAGCAGCGGCAGGTGGTCAGGTGCCTTGATGTTTGTCCTCTGTACCTGAGCCTGAGCTGCAGGCCAAGAACCTTCATTATAATTTCAGACCTGAGGCCAAGCTAATATGCTGTCCTGTTTCTGATACCAAGACCAGTGGCAGCTCCTCGCAGCTAACCGTTGAAAGGCAGGGAAGGTTAGATTGTACATTTTTGCCTCAGCAGGCGCAATTACTTGCAACTAAACACTGGACCCAGGTGCATTTTGACCTCCAGGCACCTCACTTAACTTCATTTACAAATGGAAGTGCCTGTACTGCACAGGTACCAACAGCAGGACACCCACATTAGCCTGGACCCTGCATAGGCATCGACTGATTTCCCCTGATGTTCTGTGTGAGGTGTAGACATATCGGAGATGACTCAGTACAGCTGAACACATATATTGACAGCCTGAAATAAATGAATTCCTTGCTGTCTTAATTGCTAGGTTTCCTTAGTTATGCTTTGTGTGAGGGAGCCAGGCCATAGATGAGGGTAGCCATGCGTCCTTTTATTGAACTATGGGAATTAAGCACATCAGGGCCATTGAAATGCGGCTGTCCTTGGATTTGTCTTTCAGCATCACCTGGGAAGGACAGTTGGAAATCTTCGATCTCCGGAAGCAAGAAGCAGGTAATCCAGGGCTTCCCGATCCCACCAGCAAGTTCCCAACACTGCAGATCAGTGCAGGAGTGCTAAGGCAGCAAGCAACAAGTAGCATGGGAGGTGGTCCCTTGTGCTGGCCAGAGATCTCTTCGTTTGCAGCTGCAGTTAGTTCCCTAAAACTGACGCGCTGTGGGTGGAGAACTCCCAAACACTGCGCCAGCACACAGCATGTCCTGAGGGACTTTCTTTATGCAACCCGTGAGCACGCCTCGAGTGAGCTAGGTGGGTCAGGGCTCTGGATTCACAGGGCCTGGCTTAAGCGTCTCCTCCTAGAAACCAGGAAAGTATTGGATACCATATATACCTGGTACCAGATGTGCTCTGCAGGCAGTAGAGGTGAGGGGGAGGAGAATCGGACACTGCTGTCATATAGCACAGTGCTTACCTAACCATGCAGCTAGCAACTGAAATGCACTTCCAGCAGGCGCCAAGCTGGGCTACTGCTAGTACCTGCTCCTTTTTGTGTCATGACACTTGTGGTGTGTGGTCTGTCCAGTTTTCCAGGCACTGAGCAGTGATCAATGGATCCCGTATCAGGGGCTGTTAGTGAGCTATTGGTTCCTTGCAACCACATGACAAGAACTTTGTGATCACGCACTAGGTGCTCATGTGTGGGGTTGCATTTAAAGAAGGGAAATGCATCATCTCAGGGCTATACTGATACTGGTGGGACCCGTGTCTGCATGTCTGTGAAAAGCTCTCTTTCTTTTTTCCCCTCAGAGGTGGACAGTGGAGGAAAGCGAGTGGATCAAACAAGGAGTGAATAAGTACGGCGAAGGGAGATGGAAAGTCATTTGTAAAAAATACCCCTTTCGCAACCGCACAGCTGTGATGATCAAGGATCGCTGGCGAACCATGAAAAAACTGGGACTTGACTGAGAATGAGACACGGAGAGCCAGCAGGCACTCGCTTCTTCTCCAAGAGACCAAAGCAACAGCTGCTGCAGCAGAAAGGGTCCTAGTCCCCTTCCCCAGCGCATGTTGAGAACAGTGCAGAGCTCTTGTGGGCACACAGGAGGGTCATGCACTGCCGTGGGACAAAGCTAAAACTAACTGGGATTTCAGGAACGTTCTTTCTAGTTCTTGCATTTAGCTGAAGTTGAAAGCTCTAGATCTGCATCAGGCGCCGTGCAGCCTGGTGTGTACGGAAGCAGCCTTGGAAGTGACAAGGCTGACATTTTATATGTGTTTGCAAATAGCCAGGGCTCCGGCTTCCTTTCCCATCTGATAACTGCCGCTTTTGCCCTGTGCGAATTAGAACTTGAACCTGAGCAAGGTTCAAGGGGGCTATCAGGGGGGCAGCTTTCTCAGATCAGGTTTTGGTCCAACTGAAAAGCTGATCCCCTTGCAGCTATTTTTATATATTTTAAGTGTCTTGCATCAGCTGAGAATCACTTGTCCGATCTGTGTGTTTCTCCAGCTGTCCCAGAGGGAGCCAAGCTAGGGAGTGGGAACAGCCGGTGTCAGTGAAGGAGGTCTGTGTCTTGGCGAGGTGATCAGCACAGTTGTTCCACTTGTGTAAATAGGTTTTTGTGGGGGGTGGGGGAGGGTTGTGGAGGCTTTATAAAGTAGATGTTTTGTCTTAGTATTAAACGTTAGTAGTTTCCAAGGCAGAACTTCATTTTTTTTTCCTCTCATTTGAGCTCTTTGAGCTCTCTCTTCCCTTGCACGATTCACTGCTTCCCATCTGTTTGCCTCAGTAGCTCTCTGGCCCTGAAAGGCACCGTGTGGTCTAGTCTGGTCCCGTGTGTATGAGGCATCGCTGTAGCAATACTTAGCTGTACCTCTCCCAGCCTTTGCGCAAGGTGAAGGTCCTGCCTCAGTGGTAGAATAGCTTGGGGCATGTCCCTGGGGTCAGCAGCCTGGCACCAGCTGTGTGTAGCACCCTTTGCAGCCAAAGTGCCAGCCCATGCTGGCTTTCTGAGCCAGCCAGAAGTGCAGGCACGGCCTCAGCCATGGTCTGAGCTCTGAGAAGGCTGCAGCCTGCTCCGAGCAGGGGTGAAGAGGGTCTGAGAGAGGCCAACCCTCTTCTAGCAGGTAGCGGCAGCATGGAAGGGCTGCTGAGGAAAGAGCAGGCTGTAACCATTGGAAACAGCAGTTTGTGGGCAAAGATCCCTCGTTACCAGCTGGGGCTCGCTCTCCATCAGCTCTTGGCCTGTGCAGCGTGAAGCCTTGCCAACACCTGTGTTGCCACAAGCAAAGAGCTGTGTGCTGTCCAGCCAGGCTCCATGCTCTGCTGGCTCTGAGCCCTTTCCACTTAGGGGTAGACAGAGTGCTTGGTTCCTTTGCTGCCTGAAGCAGGTTGGTGCAGCTGTAGCCTCCAGAGACCCAGCGGGGGAAGCACTTGAGGGGCACTAACCAAGGGAGCTGAAGTGGGGGGTTCAGCCAGGGACCAGCTGGGGAGAGCAGGGCTCAGGGCTGATCAGAGGAGGTGACAGTGCCTGGTCTGATCACTGCCAGACTCCACTGTCACCAGAGTCTGATCAGAGGAGGGTACCGCAGGAGCATCCCTTGCTGCCTCGTTGAGAGGGTCAGGCAGGCACCCTTTTTTTTACTGTGCTGTTCCAGGCCTCATCCCAGGCCTGTTTCAGGGACAGGGTGAGTGTCAGAAGCACCTGCTGTGTCACTGCGCCCTTTCTCCTACCCGTAGGACTGCGTTTAATTCTTTACACCGCCTCTTTGATCCAACTGAGGGAGCAGGGGCACTGGGGGCTTCTCCCATTACAGCTCGTGCTTGGCAGAATCCCTGCTGGAACGCGCGCTGTGCTGCCCCGCTGGGAGGAGTCCCCGATGATCTGCCCAGTGCTATCTAGATGCGAGTAGCACTTTCCTCTGTTGTTAGGGACACGTCCCCTGTACTGGTGCAGCGTTAGCAGTGGGTCAGCACTTGTCCCCCATTGGTGGCTCTATGTGGGCTGAATGCTGTGTGCACGGTTAGTAGGTGCCAGGGTGGGAAAGCATCTCATTTTTGCCCTGTATTGCCCCAGGACATCAGGAATAGCTTCCAACCCCCGGCTGATGGCAGGCCCTGGCTCTATGAAGAGGGCGATTCTTCCTCTTGCAGAATCAGGGCCTTACCTCTTCTGCAGTCCACGGCGAGTCAGCCCATACTGCTGCACAAGCTGTACCTTGCAGTGCTGGATGTGCGCGCAGCAGGGCTGAGCTCCCAGCACTTCTCTGTGGTCAGTGTCTGTGTCTCTCTGGCTAAGTAAAGTTCCTAGGAGAGCTCTGAGGTGCCTGGTGCTGTACAAGGTCTTCAGACTGGTGATGTGTGGAGAGTTGTGACAAGGAGACCAGCCCTCTGGTCCCCCAGAAAGTACCATGTGCCCAGAGATGCTTCTTCCCAGCTCCTGTGGGGGTGTCACAGAACGCTGTGAGGGGAACGCGCTGCCCAGCTGCGCCAGCCAGCCCTGTGCTTCCTCTGAGCTCACCTGGAGGAGCTGCCCTGTCCCAGGTGCTCTGGCATTTGGATACGGGCAGCCGTGCTGACAGCTTGAGAGGCTGTCTGGAGAAATCAGGGGAGGAGTGAGTGAGGTTAATGATTATCCCTGGCGGTCCTGGGCTCTGATGCCTGCTCTGCCCCAGCCAGAGGACCTGGGCTCAGGTGGCACCATGCTCCCGCTGGCACCTGTCGTGCTGACCATGGCACTGCTCAGTCTGCTGGGCCCTGCCGGGAGCCGCAAGACGGAGCCCCTGAGCGAGACGAGTGACCAGCCTCTCTTCCGCGGGGCCGATCGCTACGACTTTGCCGTTGTCATCCCCGGAGGGGGCACCGAGTGCTTCTGGCAGTTCGCACATCAGAGCGGCCACTTCTACTTCAGCTACGAGGTGAGCACTGGGTACCTGGTGCTGGGGGTTTTGGCGGATGGGAGAGGCTGCCAGGGGCAGCTCGTCTTGTCTCCTGAGTGCGAGCGGGAATGGCTATTCCGGGTTCAAGGGGCTGGCACGGTGCCTGCCAGCTGCTCCAGGGAGAGGTGGGGGGACTGGCTCAGGGAAAGCACCTTTCCCTAGCCCTAACTGACCTGCATGGCTGGCCTAACCTGAGAATCGGGGTGACTGGGGAGGAAACCACCCCCTGCCAGCCTAGCGCCGGGTGCTCATCCAGCCCTTCTTGAATCCTACTAAGCTCTGTCTCACCAGGTTCGGGGCAGAGCAGTTGTGTACCGTGCAAATCAGTGCAGGGGGCTTTTGTGGTCTAATACATGTTTGCTTTGTACCTAGAAGCCCCCAGGTCCAAACCCAGCAGAAGTCCCTTCACCTTCGCAGCTGTCAGAGCAGCCCGAGTTCCTTGGCTTCTAATCCGCCTCCTAACAAGCTAATTGCAGGCCAGGCTCAATGATTTAATCAATCGCATTCGTCTTAAAAAATGTTTTTTTAAAAAATCAGCATTGCTTCCTTTCGGTTAGAAGTTTCCAGCCTCTCAAGTTCAGTGTTTGAGAGAGGCTGAATAAGAGCCACCCAGTTTGCTGTTCTCCAAGCTCCTTACTGTTTTGTAGGCAAGGTTCTTTGAGTAGATGCGAGTAGTTGGAAAAATACTATTTTGTATGCTTGGTTTCACCCCTCTCAAGTAAAGGGCTGTTTCCTTTTCTCTTCCTGGGCCAGTCCTCGCAGAACTGCCATCACCTCCCTGATCCCCTTCTGCTGCACAGGAGACAGGGACCAGGACTGAGCAGAGCACATAGCAAGGGAATGGCAGCATGATGGGCTCCGACCCCAGTCCATCCCATCTGGCATCCTGGCAAACCAGCTGCTTCCAGGGATGAGGCTTAAATGTCTCTTCCAAGACGTGCGGGCATGAGCCGTTCTAGCTGGGGATTCTCGTCACCCCCAAAACCAGCCAGGCCCTTTTCCACCCTGCTGCCGTTTCTGGCTTTGATGTCCGGTGGCCGTGCTGTGTGGGAGGCGTTGCCTTTCATTACTGGTTGATTTGCTGCCTCTTCGATTCATGGTGCGTTTGAGATGTTCTGTACGAGCTGCCTCGTCCCCCAGACCTCTCAAGCTGGGGGCACCCATCCCCTCCTAATTCCCACCTCCATGTTGCCGCCGTTATCCGCCAACGGGAAGGAGCGCGAGCATCTCAACTGCCCCTCAGCTTGCCCCCCGTCAGCTCTTGTTCGCCTCCTTCCAGAAATGCCTACAGGTGAGGTCGCCCCCTCGCTCACAGCTTGCCCAAGGGCGCAGCGTGGCCCTTCACAGCCCGTGCTAGGGGGTCGGTCAGCGCTACCCTAACGGGCATAGGACTGAGACGCTCAGGCTAAGGGCCTGGCTCCAAAGCCCCTGTAGAAGTCAGGGAAGCTGCAGGTGCTCAGCATCTCAATCAGGGGCCAAGTGCCACGTGTAGCCTGGGCATGGAGCGATGGCAGCGCAGGGGTAAGTCCTGGCTGTCCGCGGTGCTGAGGTACCGTCACTGCAGGAGTCTCCACCTGGCACGGTCAGCTGGAAGCCAGGAGGCCCTCTGACCCCTGCAGCAGGATCCTGGAGGTCGCCTGCTCCCGTTCCAGGTGCGAGGCTGAACCCTTCGCCCCTTATCATGGTCCCAGCTCCTGCTTCTCCAAGGTTGGGGGCATTTGTGCCTGGCACTTAAGGGACGCTGGAGGCCTATAAATAGTTATCAACTGCCCCTTTATCTGCAGCGGCACAGGGCGCTGCGGAGAGCCGTGTGGAGTGCAGCAGCTGGCAGGGAGGGGTTCAGCCAGCAGAGCTCACTCGCAGTTCATGGGGGCAGGGTCTCTGCTTCCCTCCCGTCCCTGGTGTGTGTCCCAGGATGGCTGTCCCTGCACCTGGAAAAGGTGCCATTTGCAGAGACAGGAGCGAATTGCACGCCTGTTTGGAGAGAACATGCCTTGGCCAGGCTTCCACGCACATGCTGGATGGGCTGTCCTGGCAGGGCCCCACAGCATGCAGGTGGTAGCAGTGCCAGGGCCTTCCCTGCCCTGTGGTCTCACCTCTGCCCAGCCTGCCCAACAGGCTTAGGGACCATCTGCTCCGGCCCCGTCGAGGGCACCCAGTGGGTACAAAGGGGCAGCAGGTACCGCTGAGCAGAGCAAACCCACCTCCACGCAGATGGCCTGGCAGCACTGTTAGCTGGGAGGTCCCAGGGCAGCTTCTGTGGGGCAGATCCTCTGCAGCGTGCAGAGCAGCACCTGATGTTCCCTGCTCTCCCTGCCTCGGTTTCAGGTGCAGCGGGCGTCGGGAATGGCTGACAGACACATCCTGGTCACAGCGAGCGACCCCAATGGCTTCCGCGTAGGCACTGCCCAGGACCCGCGAGGACAGATCAACTTCTCGACCAAGGAGACAGGTATTGTCCTCCCTCCCTGGACCGCCCGAGTTCCAGCAGGGCCTGCTGTTCCCTGAAAGCTCAACCGTCACAGCCACGGGGCCAGGGACTCTGCTCTGCACCAGGCACGTCCAGTGCTGAACTCGGGACTAGAGTGTCCGGCGGGCTGTCCCGGGGTTTCTGAGCGCTCAGACCGTGTCTCACTCCTCCAGAGGTGGGAAGTATCTGAGTGGAGGATTTGGGTAACTTCTGAGCAGTGCAGCACCTGCTAACGGTCCTCTGAAGCTTGACTCCCCTTTTATCCACAGGCTTTTACCAGCTTTGCCTGAGCAATCGCCACAACCGCTTTGGGTTTGTGCAGGTTTATCTCGACTTCGGGGTGTTATACGAAGGTTTCGACACCGAGAACCAGCCCGAAATGGAGAGGAAGGAGCTCAATGACACACTGGAGGCAATTGAGGTAATGGAAGTGTCGTTTGCGATCAGTTTGAAATCCGTAACCCAGTCCAGACAGACACAGGAACAGGCCCCTGGTCTAACAGGCAGCTGGGAAAGCTTAGGAACTACTTACTGCACCTGGGAACCAATGCCAAAGTGGGAGAGGTGGGCATGGGTGTAGGCAGCTGGCTCCAGTAGGCCAGGACTGGGGAGGAGGTGAATAAGGCGAAAGCAGGCTCTGGAGGAGAGGTCTCCTCCTCAGTGCAGCGCAGGCCCACGCAGCCCCAGGGCCAGCGGGTCAGTTCCTGCAGCCCCAGGAGCGTCCCTCACTTATTTTCAAAAGCACAGCATGCGCCACACAGGGTCAGACCAAGGGGCTGAGTGCAGCATCCTGCTGCCCGTGTTAGGACAGCCAGATCCCACATGCCGGGGGCTCAAGCCAGCAAGGTTCAGGGCCCCCCTGCAGGGGGGAAAAGGCGCTCTCACCTGCTCAGGGCCCTGGCTCTTGCTGCAGATGAGCACCCACAAGCTGCAGGGCTACATCTTCCACATGTGGCGCTTCTACAACATGGCGCGGATGAGAAAGGGGGCCGACTACTTCCTGCTCGAGGCCAACTCCTACTACGTGACACGGTGGTCAGCCGCGCAGAGCTGCGTCATCCTCCTCTCGGGTGTGCTGCAGCTCTATTTCCTGAAGCGGCTCTTCAACGCGCCGTCCACCAGCAAGCCACGGTGCTGAGCTCTCTGCAGGTGCCCACCACAGGCCAGTGCAGCCAGGAGACCGTGGGGAGCAGGGGCAGCTCTGCTGCCTCCCTTGGCCAGACTCTTCCCCACCCCCAGGACTGGGATGGAGAGGGGGATCTGCTCTGGCAGGGTGGTGCAGTGAGGCCAGGTGACTGGCAGACTGGAAATCCTCCTTGTCACCTCTCCAGTGAAGCTGCCTTCTGTCCTTCTCCTCCTTGAGGACCAGCTGGAGGAGAGGGAGAGGATGGTGTACAAACGCCCTGTGCCGGGGGTGGCTACTTGACCCTGTTCTACCACCGCAGTCCCTGAAGGGGATGGCCTTGCATTACAAACCCAATAAATAGCACTAGCCAAGCCTCTGTTGTCTGAAACTACTGCCAGGCAGAAACCAGGGCCTAGCCCTTTGCTACAGGTGCAGTGCTCTGCCCATGTCCGCTGCGATGGGGAGCCCTTGGGTGTGCTCATGGCAGCCTCAGCTTATCTCCTTCAGCATCAAGTACAACACCTGGCTGGGAAAGGATGGTGCTTCCCCTGGGGACGGACGGGGTATGTTCGCAGGTGGACAGCAGGTGTCATCTCAGAGTCGGTTTGATGGGCTCGGCACACGAAGAAGCACCTTTCTCTGGTTTGCCCCGTGGCATTTACCGCAGCAGCAGGGCTACAGCCGGCACGAGTATAACCTGTTCCCATGAGCTCAGAGCCATGCGGGGCTGTGGCAGAGGGACTGAGCCTTTTCACCACTGCTGTGGCCCAAGCCAGGGGGAAATTTTATTAGAGAGAAAACCCCATTTTGTATTAGCCCAGCCCCAGGGTGCTGGGCCTGCAATCTCCCTCTGGCCAGGTCACCCACAGAGCTCGCACCAGTCACTACCACTGGGACACGGCTGTCTGGGACAGCAAGAGCCTGTCGCAGTTACTTGTGGAGCTCCATGCTGGAGCCCTCCCAGGTGCCTGGAGGGGCTCGCAGGGCTTCGTCCTGATCGCACAACAAAGTCCGTTCGTCCCAAATGCGGCCAAGTCTTTGGAGCCTTTGTGCTCCCAACTCCACCTAAGTCAGCGTCTCCTCGTGCCGCACGTACTCCCCGACATCCGCCTGATGAAACACCACGATCGCCATGGGGTCCACTTTCCGGCAGTCCTGGGTGGACTTTGCTGTCACTCCGAAACCCTGCGGAACCAACAACAGCCGCCGTCAGACACCGCTTCGAGGGCCCTGGCCAGCAGCCGTAGCCCCCGGCCCAGCGTCGCTCACCAGAGGGACGTCTGCCATGGAGTACACCACCACGCCCTGGTACTGAGCCGTGTTCTCGGTGATGCGGCCCAGGCCAGATTTCAGCACGTGGTTCCCGTAGAGGAAGGATTGCTCCGTGCCCGGCTTCACCCACACTTTATACTGCGAGAGAAGCAAAGGAGAAACCATCAGCACATCCACGGGAGCTGCTGTTGTGTCCTTCGTGAGGACAAAACGTTTCGCAAGTCAGACTCCGCAGGGCTGGAGGAAACGGGCAACGCTTTCCCCTCTGCCCCCTGGACAACGGGAAAAGCAACGGCGGTTTCGGCTGTCAGCGAGCAGGCAGCAGGACTCGGGCCGGGTCCCTGGGACGCCCAGGTCATAAGGGAAAGCCTGTAAGTCATTTCCCCCTGTCGTGGTGCAGGCTGCCAGGCTGGAGACTGGTGTCCGGAGAACGGTGCAGCCACGATGTGCTGGACGGGGGTCAAGCGGGGCCTCCAGAAGGCAGACGCCTCCGACCAGAGCGATCGGGAAGAACGTAGCTGGGGAGGACGGAGCTGCCGCCCATCCGCGACGCCGCCCCGCACGAACACGTTAACCTCGCCGCCC